GGGGAGCAAGACATAGACATCCTTGGGTTGGCAATCCACAAATACCTTCGAAGGGAACAAGGCAGTGAATACTTCCTCCTCATGGGCCGCTTTCACCCTCACTTCAAACTGTTCACGAAGGCGACAAATGGTGATGATCTTGTCATGTGACTTGCATGCCACTTCAACCTCTGATCGAGAAACGTGTGGCATCCACAACACTCGGAAAGGTTGGGCGGCCAGGCCCATGCACATTGGCTTGGCTGGTTGCTGTTCAGAACGCGGTGTTCACTACGGATCATGGAGAGGTCACTATTACCCTTCGCTCTTTTGCACCCAGGCGTCAAATGTTGATCAAGATCGATCAAGTGTGATTGCATCTGTCCAAATGCAACAAATTGCAGGCCAGTCCGGCTACCGGCTTCGAAGAAGGATCCTTGGATGACGAATCACAGTGGAGGAGTTCATATCATCCTCTCCTCTGACGACGCCGACTCCGATTCCAATGGCAGTGGAAACCACATCGAAGCAGGAGCAGCTACAACAGGACGCGTCAGGCCAGATCTCCAACGCTCTCCAAGAACAGCAGGCAGAGCAAAGTGTTTGCCCTCAATCCCTTGCGACGAGTGTGGCACGCTGTACTTGTGAACTCCAGGCTCAACAGTAAGATCGACTTCAGTTTCGTCAGCTGATGGAGGAAAACACTGCGGCCCTGCGGTCTGAGATGCAAGCCAGACTTTGCATCTGGAGAGAGCGGTGGCGAGGAAGGCTCCTCGCCGTGATTGCAGTTGAGGCGGACAGACAAAAATCTGGCCATGGGAAGAACTATAGAATTTGGTGGCCGCAAACGGTTGCTTCAAATGCCGGACTCTCCCAGGCATTTGCCTTACGGAGTCCCCTCACAGGCCGAGATGGCCGAGTGGACAAGTGGCCGAGTGGGGGGAGAGTGACGCTGCAATGGAGGATCACTATATGAGGGAGATGTGAGATGATCGTTTGCAATATCTTCCATCTGGTCTTGGCAAAGTGTCAGCAATGTTGGCTGGTTGGGCCGGAGCCATTGCAGAAGGACCTGGGTGGGATGCACGGGCCGTTGGTCAAACTTTTGCCTTCGATGTGGCGATCTTTGCGGCTCAGGGCGACAAATTGGGGAAGTGAAGTCCTGTGTTTCATTTATTTACTGCGTTGGGCAAACGCCTAAAACTTGAACACGCGAACGTGTTGTAGGTGCACAAGGGTTAAGTTGACCAAAAGATTCTGAGCTCATCTCACATGGCTAAGAATGGCTCAGGTGAAACCTATCTATATACATACTATAGAACTTTGTATGTCTGAATATGTCTGACCGATATCTTGACATGTTGTTTCTTTGCCAAGCCAAGCACTCACCAACACATGCACGACCCGAAATCTGCAGCCTTCCAGTGGAGCTGCATCGAGGTCAAAGGCTGGGAGGTTAGCATTCTGCCAAGATCTGATGAGAAGAACGAACAACTCTTCTTCTTCTTCTTCTTCTTGAAGGGGCGCAGTGGCTACAGTTGTTGCGGCCTGGTTGTGTCTACTTCCCAACCAAGTGGTCGTGAGGGATGGGGCTCACCAGAAAGCATGATCATGAACCTACGTATATATATGCGCAAGCAGTTTCACATCATGATGCGCAGGCGAAGATCTGTCCTCGAGCCGCCGTTCTCATTGACCTTCTAAGATCACAAACTCTACACAGAACTAAACCAGCTTGGAGACCTGGGTCTATTGAACTTAGGTCTTTCGAAGCCCTATGGCACTGCAGAACAGCTGCTTCTTCAATCATACAGCTTGGTGGATCTGGTTGACAATCCAATGAGCTTCTTTCGCAACATCTCACTTTTGGTCTCGTGCAGTGACCGATGTCTGACTTTGTCAGCGCTCAGTCACTTCTCGAAGGGCTGTCTTCTTTTGACTCAAGGGGTGGTCTTTCGAACCACATGGAATCTGCAACACATGGTCTGAGTCTGTGCTGGTCTGGGCCTTTCTAGTCCATCTAAAACAAAGAATCGAGACCTCCTCCTCGGATCGACCCGGGACGACCTGCGCAGCCGGACCGCCATCAATCCATGGACTCCAGGCTGGGCTGCACGGGTGGTCGCGGCCTTCGTCCTGAGGGTCGGGTCGGTGCTCCGGGTGGGGCGTGGGGAACCAACGGCACTGCTGGTGGAGCTGCCTGCGACACTGCTGGTGGCAGTGTTGGCGGTGGAGCTGGGGCGCCTGTGGCACCTGGTGTGCCCGGAACGCCTTAGGCGCCTGGTGGTGTGTGGAGGCCCATGGTGGCTAAAGCTTGGGCAATCTGGTCGGCCACCTCCCTGGGCTTCTGCATCTCCTCGTCCGCGATGTACACCAAAGTTGGTTTGAGAATGAATCGGTTTTGGTATCGGCCCATTTCAGAATCTGAAGGTTGAGGCGGATACACTCGATGATAGCGAACTGGAATAAGAGGAAGATTATCGGAAGATTTTGTTGATGTGCAAATTCCAGTTCTCGGAAGGTCTCATATCCAACCTGACTTGCAAGTTGGGACACCAAAGACAGGCAAAACAGAACAGGAACTTCACTTGCCAACCAACCCCAATGCAAAGATCCATCCATTGGGGCATAGAACATCATATAGTAACATATCAAAAGCTTCTCAAAGCTTGCGAACGGGTAGCGCCAGTCAGGGCGCCATATTCCTCGGTGCAGAAAGCCACCATGGCTTTCGCTCTGCCTAGACCCATGAGGGTCAAACTTCCGAATTATCCACCGCCTCCAGCTTCCACCATAAAGGTGGTCACTTGGAGCTCCTCAAGACGTCTTCTGACCTTGTTCGCAGGTCTCATACCCTCGAACTCATAAATAGATAAACTATGATAAACTTGTTGACCCAATTTGCTGCTTGCCTCAAGTTTAAACGAACAAAAAGACAGATTTGGCTGGAATCAATGCTCAGGCGCAATCCTCATGTAATCTTTGATGTCATCTCCGTTGAATCTCCCGCTCAGCATCACGTGCTGCTGAATCGACTGGGGAGACGGATTGCTGGAGCTAGCAACCTGTTGTGAGGCTTCAGGTCTCCATTTTAGGCAAATGTGTTCTGGTCTATCAGAAATGATCAGAATTTGCGTAAACCCCATCAAACCAAACACATTCATTCATAACATGCCACACCCCCAATCAAGCTGACTCCATGACAGTTTCAAGAGGGTTTCCAGCCTGAGCACTGGCTGAGCCACTTGCGGTCGATTGAGATGCTGCGTATCCTCCTGCATTGGTCGGAGCAGGGGCGGCAGTATAGGTCACTTTAAAATCGCGCTGACCATCATTAATGTCGACCTGAAAGGCTGCGTCAGATTGCCGGCCAAATTCCCTGGAAATAGCTGGAAGAGGCGGAGTTGAAGCTCTTGGAGACGCGTCCCCGAGTGTGAAAGGATTACAGCATGATTCTGGCCAATCACTTCAATCTCACTACATTGCTGATAGCCTTGCAAGAGCTGGGCATCTTGCAAGTACCACGCTAGTTCGTCATTGCACCTGTTGCAGCCCACATGGAGCAAGGCCAGCTTCACTGTGGGATGAACCCAAGCGCTTTCAGAGGTCTTGGATCTCCTGTGATGGCCACCTGACAGAAGTGGGAGAGCTGGACTTCGCAGGAATCTTCAGCAAATTTCACCTCGCGAATTTCTTCCCAGGCACTATCGTCATTGGACCTAAACACTTTGTTGGCTCCAGCGCATGTTGGAATTCTCAGAATGATGGGTGCTGGAAAGGTCACGCCTTCAGGCGTAAGCTTCAGTACGGGCGCCATGGGCACCATGGTGTCTGGCAATGACGATTCGACCTGCAAGACGTCGACCTTTGGCTCGTATTGTCGCCAAACAGCTGTGGTGGCTACCATTGTGATCCCAACTGCAAACTCCACTTCCTGACAGAAAATGCTCACCAAATGTTGCCGACCCAAACGATTTGCTTCTGGACTATCCATTACACGTGGAGAATTCGAAAGCATCAAAACCTGCTGCACAAAATTCATAGGGTTGAGCAGGGTCGGCGTCCTTGTACTCGTCGTCTTTATCGGTTTCCTGGCAACGGGGTACAAAAATGAGAACGCGCAGGAGGAACGGAACATGCGAGCATGACTGTGAGCATGCTATGTACACGCAGGTCATCCGCATTCTTAAGCAGCGAGGCTTCGTTGAAGCTTCGGCGCTGCTTGAAGCGCTAACTTCCTGGCGTTTCGGCAAACAAACAGAGCGATTTCATGGGGAAGACGACCCAGGAATGGGTGTTCTGGCAACAAATCTGTGCGGCCTGAATAGACCATGAAATCAAAAGGTCCCACATATCAAATCCTTGAGTTTGTAGGTCACCACAAGCAGCACACATTCCATGGAAACTGTGCTTCTGGGTCTGAAGAAAGAACAATACATGCGCCTGTAAGGATATTGACCTCTCATGCAAACCCCACCACGTAGCCAAATGTGCAACGACTGTTCCCCCGACGTCATATACGGCCGCTCCTCACCATCGGTGACCTCACAGCGACACAATGCTGGTTTTCCTGCCTGTGAGGAACATGTTTTGATATCACAACCCAACATGAGTCAATCACTGACAGTCTCACTCTGCTAGGCTGTTGGGCCGGAGCAATGGCGGTCACAAAACTGGTGTAGTCAATGCCAGCTTCTTGCAAAGACAACTGTTCTTTCCTGGCAGGACAATTTGCTGCCCCCAAAAGGAAGATGCATCTCTTGGAAAAAGAATCGAGCCAGGTAAACGAACAACAATCCTTGGTATCACAGACTTCTCAGGTCTCAGGGACTAAAGATATCATAATTTCATGAGGACATTGTGATCTTGGTATGCAGCTCCGTTGAATGGTTTTTTTTAACCGTCCTTTGCCCAAATCGAAAGAAGCGTCTATGTTCCGTGAGACTTTGCCGAAGCCGCTCAACTCGAAACTTTCAAAAATCAAAACATGCGGGAAGCACAAAACAGTCCCAGAGCTCGTGACGAGCTGCTTGATCCCAGTCCCAAGCTTTGACCTTGGCCAAAAATGACCATCGCGGTGTAACCTCTGCAACACCAATGATGTAGAAGAGTGACAGAGTCTTATACCGTAGCGTTGCAACACCATCCCTCCAGCATGACATTCACCAGCTGCATTGGTTTTTCAAGCGCACATTTATTAGTTTCAGCTGGCCTTGAAGTTGGCTGAAGAGATCAGGAGCGCATCCACATTCCAAATCAACAAATCAAGGCACATGAGGTTTGCAATTGTAGGAAGGCATAGACTGGAGCCAATGCACAGTGGCATTTCAGCATGTTTGCATCGAATGCGATTGATAATAATTGATATCATCACATACACCCAAGGAACCAAGCTCAAGAGGTGTCGCACATCATAGCTCATCAGAGCCAACTCATGTCAACTTGCTGCCTCAAAGCTACTGTGCTTCTTCGCGCAGGTCCGCACTGTACGGCTGGGCTCCGGGTCACCTCACAAAGTCCAACATCTGGAGCAAATCGCAAGAGGTTGGTAACTTCTTGCAGGACATATCATCCATGTGAGTTAGTACATGCTCAATCTCGTTAGCTTCGCTTACTTGGCCTTCTGTTGACACCTACCACCTGCTTGTATGTTTTTGAACAGCACCCGGCATGTCTGAAAAGCAAATTTTCAAGATCCCCAATATCTCACAGAAAACTCTAAAACAACTCAGTCAGTTTGTTCAATCTAAGAGCTGAGCTGGCGACACCCCACTGACTTGCAGCTAAGCTGCAGCGCACAGTTCGGCCACTCAGCAGGCCCACCTGGACCTGAGCAGTCTGTGAAGCCATGACGAGCATTAGTTCAGGCAAAGAGGCCATATGGCAAGCCGAATGTGCATTCCCAGTGGGAAGGAAAGAATGCGTCAAGTGAAATGAGCATCATCTAGCCTCAAGCTTCAACTATATAATAAATATAATTGCTTTTGACACCCCCTTTTGACGGTTTCTGTTAGAAACAAGCCAGTCAATGAGCCGTCTTATGCTTTGTGTAGTGAAACGTTGTGTCGAAATATTTGCAATACTGAAAACCGCACTCAGGGTTCCTGGTCTCAATCTTGGTTCAGTAGTCATTTACCGCTGGTGGTCTAAATGTGGTCCAAGTATGTCCAAATGCAAAATCAGTTTGTTCCCTGGCCTGTCAGAACCAAAAACAACGAACTCATCAAACACAACAAATCCGAAACCCACGCCATCCACAGATGTGAAAGATAGTGAAAGGGGCAAGGGGAGTCATCTAACGACCTTTTTGAGATGGAAGCCAAATTCCATGAAACATGGTGTGGCGCAAAGAGCTATGCAACACCTCATCCAAATCGCTAATCGCTATAGGGGATAACGAGACAATGGCATGAGGAGGGAACCCATGATATTTATGCCATCCTCTTGTGGTTTAGGCCACTTCCATGCCACCTACCCCCTCACTACCGAAATGTGGAACATGTAGATGGCATACACTGCAAATAGAGCTCAAAAGCATTGCTAGAAATGTCAGTCGCTTGATCCGTTTGGATCTTTGGATGTCGTTTGGATCTTTGGATAATGAGCACTTGTTAATGGATGTTAATGGCATGTGGCGTCTACCATGGTCGACACCGCTCCAAACATCGGACCCAACCCTTTTCGGGCCGAAAACGATCGACCTTCCGACCTTCCGAGCCTCTGGGGGCTCCCTGCGGTATGCGCCACCCTTCGCTTCCAAGTCGGCCTTGGCTTCCGCGAGCCGGTCGACCACGTGGAGGTGGCCCGCTTCGGACCACAAAACTGCAAAATCAGCCAACTTCATGCAGCTCCCAATTGTTCAAGGTTGTGCAAGGTTGACTCTGGCTTTGCTGGCTCATCTTTTCCGGCTGCCAAAGCATGTCGACATTCTTCAACTAAGTTTGGGGAAAGCGTTTTCCAATCTTTCACGTTCTGAACTGCGCACGCAGAGATCTGGGGCGCCCAGCCTTCCTTGTCTGTGGCTCCAATATCAGCTCCTGAAGCCAAAAGGCGATCCACCTCCTCCTTCTCCCCGTTGAGGGCGGCGAGGTGCAGCGCGGAGCGGCCTCGGATGATGTGAGTTGATTCGAAAGTGTTCCAATCCCGGCTTGGGGACGAGTGGGTGATCGCTCTGCAGTCAGATCTGGATGTCTAAACAAATGCAAGACCTGAAGATGCTGAAGTTGCTGTTCTGAACTCCAAATCCATTCCGCATCCTAACTTGAGTGACTTGGACCAGCCTTTCACGAGTTCTGAACCAATTCTTAGCCCCTCGCCTTCTCCATCAACCTCTGCACCTCGGCAGCTCAATTGGAAATGGATGGAACTTATCGACCACCTAGCACCCTCCAATTGCAGAAAAAGACATCGTTAAGCCGCTTAGCCGGAATGTGGCCTCACAAATCAGATCTCGTGCTTGCGCTCGCACGATTGTGCTAACGTTCATCCAGTGATCCACAAGTCTGGTCGCTTCCCCCGAGGCTTTCGAAACCCAACACTTCTTTAAAGTCCGACATCCCAAGAATGGTGAAGCAAACATTTCACCTCACACTCTGCCAAAGAAGTGTTCCACAATTGACAGTTGATTAGAGAAGCAATTGGAGAAGTCTATCCGTCCTGCCTGCACCGGCGCTCATTCTTCCTGGAAAAGGATGAAGCGCTTACAAACCAGACAGCTCCTTGAACTTTGACAAAAAAGAACACAAAATCGCTGCTCCTGCAGGTTCTCGCAGAGAGGCTGGCTATGGCAAAATGAACAGTTTGAACCTCCCTCTTCTCTAGGCCAAATGCTTCTGAATGGCAGCTATGACATTTGCTTCTCAAGTCCGCCTTCTGTACCATTCAAAGGCCGGTCTTTGAACACTCGGAAGTCCAGTTGCAGTAGCAGTTGTAACAGATTCAAGAGAAAATATCAGTAAGGAATTCATAACTTGCTATACAATTTCTCCTGGTCGAACCCTCTCCAAATGTGTCCACCGGTAACCAGGAGACATTCCCCGCTTGATCCTCTCGAGTGCACTTCTCTTCTAAGAAACCATGCATGTGCCATATATCTGCGTTTCTCTTTTTTCCGCTGTCACGGACGTCGCGGTGCTGGCAAAGGCAGACCTTGGCACGGTCGGTTAGGGTCTCCCTAACAAAGGATTGCTGCCAGGCCGCTTTGCGCCTCTATTTTCTGTCCAACATCATTATGTTAGACTGTCTGTATATTATGTTTCTCCGGGAGAGATCAAACCACACGCCATGGCTGCCATGCGCCCCATCCCCTTTCCCACGTTCTTTTGCGCTTTAGCCCATCGACGTGGAGTGCAGAGTGCATCGAGGCCCAGACCCATCATGGGTGGCATCAAAGGCATCCCTGACAGCATTGGCCTGGGATGAACAAAAGCTGGTGCGTGTGGGTGTCCAAAGGAATGCGTTTGTGCGTGGCTTTGGTTTGGTTTGGCAAGCCGAAGAAGCAAATGATTCCCGCTGCAATTTGCATGTACCTCATGCCTCAAAACTTCCACCTGCAAGAAAACCTAGCTCTGAGTTTAACATCTCTTTTGCAAGCATCCAGTGCACTCGTTGCTTAGACCATTTTAAGGTACCGTGACGCTGCTGATTCAGCCGAGATACATCATGGTCGGCATAGGCATTGGCATTGGCATGGGCATCGGAAGCATGGTTTGAGCTGCACCCGGCCTTACCAATGAGACAAATGTTCAGCTGTCGTGTCTATGGAGGCAACATCGAGAAGGATACGGCAACAAGGAACAACAAGGAACAAGGCATGCATCAGTAGCTTGGCTGATTGTTTATATTCTGCTCATCCACCTAAATGCAGCTGTGAATCTGAAACGCATCCAATAGAACCAGTAGAAGCTACAAACTGCCAGCCATCCTCTGCTCCTCTCTTCCACTTGAGTGGATGTAGGAATCACTGACGTCATAAGACAATTCTCAGTCCAGCCGCTTCCGACAGTCGAACTACTTGTAAATGCATGTAGATGCACCAAATGGGTCCTTCAAATGTGTTGGGACTTTAAACAATGATGGTGATTTACAATTGAATGCTTCTTCGGACAATTTGCTGTTGAGAAAACGGCCTCACAGGCCATATAGCTTCCGATTGTCTACTTCTCTACAAGACGTGACGTTTCTTCCCAGATTCATGCGAAAGACAGCAACCAATACGCGACTTGTAGACCGGGCATGTTGTTTGTACTGCCTGATCCTCCAGACATCGAACGAAGAGAAGATATTTTCAACAGTGAACCTGTGTGGTCTCTTCAACCCAACTGAGACGGTGGCGGAATCACCTGGCAAAAAGTTTGAGTTTTCCCGCTTTCATGCATTTGGAACTCGAAACTCTAAACATTGGCCGCAATCCGGGAGAAAACACATGGAACCAAACTGGACTCCAGGAGTTTTGCACCCGCGAAAGCGAATTACATGGGAAAACACCCAAGGAGTTACTAGCAGCGATGCACTTGTTTCTACGTTCGCTTCTTGTTACTACTAGTAAGGCACTTGTTACGAACGTAGCGATGCACTTGTTACTGCCTGCAAGGGTGGCCGCACAGATGAGACGGCTTCCTGTCGCAACACGGACGACGACTCCGAACGAACGACGACTCCGTCTACGACTCCGGACGACTCCGGACTACAGGTGCGTCTTCGCAGCCGACAGGTGCGTCTTCTGACGCAGCTCGTAGCGAGATCGTTTTCCTGATCGAATGAACGGATTCGCGCATGACTTGGGGCGTTGGATTGCCCCTGTTTTGGGAGCTACGCTACGCGTTCGTGAAGCCATTTGGAGCTTCAAAGGTGAAGTCTTTATGCAAGTGGCACCAGACCCCCTTTGAGCCTGGATGCCCAGAATGCACCAGATGAAAAAACATTCTTTGGAGACTCTTGAGACAACGAGAGGTGATCAGAGACTCTTCTTGTGCATCTGATCACAACCCAAAAGCCTTTGATCTACACAGAAAGAAATACTGCTTAATATTGTTGTTATTATATAACTATTTCAAATCAACTGTTCGCAAATGCTCGGAAGACACAAATCCAAATAATTAGGTAGTTTGGCCAATGTTTTCCATCAACATCTAAAAATAGATATGAAAAAGAAATGACCTCAAAGGCTTCAGATGGTGATGTTCTGCTTCATCTACTACTTCCACCGCTCAGTCGTCCAGGTGATGCTTCCGGTGTCGCTTCTTGTGATGCTTCCGGGGGTTCTTCACCGTCGGCGGCGGGATCCTGGGCCCCGGACGGGGGACGGCGGACGGGCGGTACGGTGAGACGCTTCGCTCCTGAAACATGTTACAAACATCTACCGAACTTCTTCCGCAACAAATCTTCCCATCGACCAGAAGGAGCAACATCAACATCACACAGCGTCTCGACCCATAAATGACGTCTCCTTTACTCTGAGGTGGTCAGAAAAGGAATAAGAAATCTGTGAGCTTGATCTACTATGCAGCATATGGGTTTTTTGAGCTTGATCGGCATATGGTTGGATATTTACTTGCTGCTTTTCCTTGCAAACGAACAACATCGCTTCACGTCCGACCTGACCTGCGTAGCACTCTCATCAGCACACCCATGCAATCCCACTCCCCGCGGATTCGATGCCCAGGGCACATGGGTGTCACATGGCCATCCATGTCGCCATAACCTCCAATGAGAATGTATTTGTAGACTCCGAAGTCTGGATACCTGGGAAAGAAAGTTGAAAAAAAGAAGCGATGTGGGAAGTCCGAAGTCCTCTATAGATCAGATCCGTTGGCATCCGGGGGAGTGGTGCTTGGTGCTTGGTTCTCGGCATCACTTTCGGGTTGCCGGTATCTGCAAAGCTGTTTCAACGCGCTCCTCAAAATGACTCGGTGTCACTTGGCAGGCAGGGCTTGTCAACTGGTGTCCCTTCCAGGTGGTGTCTGGGGAAAGGGTGACCCACCGGTTCTACCCATGTACAATCCAACCAAACACAATTTTCTGCAAACTGCTATTTCAAGGGCCAATGAAAGAATGAACAAGCAAACAAGAGTATTCACAAGCAAGCGAGCACAACAATCACACGTGCTCGGCATTCATGTTGTTTTGCTATTGGCAATTCTTGATGGCTCCAAAGACCTAGGACCTAGCCACCAACAACTGTTGCTGGATTTCTACCAGTGACTCTTGCCACAATACCCTAAGGCCATGAGCTGTATAGCTTGAAAAGCTCAGAGCTGGGCTCCGGCTCAGCCAGGTCACCAGAAGACGTGCCTGGGATATCCCGTCTTGTAGATATCCACGGGATCCCCTTCTTCGATGCGGTCCCGCAACACCGTCACCTGGTCGGCCACGTCTTCGAACTGCTTGATGCCCTCAAGCGACAGCAGCAGCGCGGAGGCGACGACCGGGGAGGCGAGAAAGGCTTTGTGTTGGATCATCCGGATCAGCGGGGTCCCCGAGACAGTGTTTTTCCTTCTCTTTGCCAGGCCAGAAGATACGTGGAGGGAAACCGTCTCAGTTTTCTGACGTCTCTACTTGGGTGATGTTCATTCATGGCTTGTGCGTGCGCTGCTTTTGACCATAGGCTGCTGCTTTGTGTTGGCATGCCGAAATCAGTTACGTCTCAGACAAGAGCTCTTGAAATTGAACAAAAGGTTTGCCAAACCAATGACATGATGTCCAAATTGTTCTTCCTTCTTGTTGTGGTTCGATCTTAATCTTATGAAATTGTCAGTCGACCGAGCCGAGGCGGTGAACTGCCCGCCTTGGGCTCGAAGCCGTACTCGAAGCGGAGGCCTCCAGGCGCCAGTGGGTCGGTGGCGCGGCTCGGGTGGATCATGGGAAGCTGACGCACGGGTCGAATCAGAAGGCGAAAATGTCAAGGGACCCGGAGGGATCACACTTTTGGGATCACACTTTGGGGCATGTTCTCAACTCTGGAGCAGAGTGAAGTGCTTCGTGGAGAATGAATGCGTTTGCTTTCTTCAAGTTTGTTCGGTTCATTTACTATAAAATGGCCAAAATCTCAGTTCATCTGAATGAGTGCACGAGCACATCATCCCAAAGTAGCCGGATATTTGGAGAAGATCACGGCTGATGGGCACCAGTCTGAAACCTCCCATGACGGAAACCGCATGAAACCCCCCATCAGCCAGTTGCTCTAGTTTCTAATGGCAAATTCCGTTGGAAGAGCCGGAAGAGCTAACCTTTTTTCAGCTTCCGCTCCATCTCCCTCCCTTTTTTGTGCCATCTCCCATTTCAACCCCCAAAAACCCTTCCACTCTCCCTTCCCCCCCTCCTCTCCCCTCCCCCCCTCCTCTCCCCTCCACTCATGCCCTCTCCGCGCGAAGACTCGTCCTCTCCGCCCTCCGCGCCTTCGACCTTTTCGAGTTTCGGCTCGAAGTTCGCGGGCAACGCCTCCAGCAACCCCCGCCCGAAGGCGCAGATGTTCGAGGCCGGGCGGCGCACGCTGCGGTATTCCTGGCGAAGCAAGAGAGAGAGAGAGAGAGGGTGCCACCGGTGGTATCGATGGCAACGGTGTTGGTGGTGGTGTTGGTGATCCTGAGTGAAATCTGACGTTGTCTGGGGTGATAAGATATCAGTTTTAAGAAGAAATGACATGAACTTACTGATTATGGTGAAGATGTAATTGACAACTTCACCACTTCAGGAAGTGTTTCTTCCAGGAATGCACAAGAGGAGTGGCAAATCCAATCCCTGCTGTAAAAATGCCTTTGAGACTGAGATGCCGTTTGTGTTCTTTCATGTCCTTTCTCGATGAAATCCCTTTCCAGCCGTCCCAGAGGCCCCAGAGCTGTCTGGCGCTCCTTGTAGCCCATGCTGCTGAGAGCTTTGAACTTCTCCAGAAAGCCAGCACCTACGGTGGTCGTGTCCAAGAGGTATAGATAGCTGTTTGCCTGGACCGAGGGATGATCCTTGTAGCGTCCCAGTATGGCCAGGCCAGTCAAGTCATAATTCATGTAAGGAGTCTCGATGTAGGTCATGTCGTGATCCGTGTATATCCGGTCCACATCCTCGAGCTTGCGAGCGCCGTCGAGCGTGCTGTTTTGCATTGACGTGCTGTGTGTGAAAAGGTCGACGTGTTCCATGATTCGTAGGCATCAACCGCTGAAATGATGACAGGGTGAGCATGTGAAAGGGTGTTTGGTTTTGAGCATAAGGTTGCTCTACTTGCTGACCAGCATAAGGAGGTTTAAACAGGCGATCCAGAGCCGAAACCGCTCCAAAAGAGCTGAAAGCACTGAGCTGAAAGCGGCCATATGCTAAGCAAGCAGCTGCTCCTCCAACGACGATGATCACATCCGTGAAATTCTCAAATCTAAATGCTTTCATGGTGTCCAGGAGGATGTTCAATGGCACCTGAAACCAGGTCCAGCATCCACGTTTGCAGTATTGATTGAGTCAAAAACACCAGAAGTATCCAGAGATACTTTGGATGTTGAGACTGTATCCCATCACTTCTTAGATTTCTTCTGCACCCGAGCTCTATATATATCTACAGAGTCTTCCTTTTTCATGTGTTTTGTCCTTTCCTTTTCAGCGATTCGAACCTGGTACTTCATGTTTGAGTTGATGACCACTTTCACCGATGGCCACTGTGACTCCACATAGTCGTCTTCCAGTCGGGCCGAGCAGGCCGAGTTGATGCATATCGCCAGCAGAGGCGTCAGTGTCGCCCATCTCCGGCGCATCACGGAACCGCACCGTTCGGACGCGCAGGAAGCCAGACGCGCCACACGTGGCAACGCGCGCGAAACACGGCCGGTGCGGGGTTGGCCTAATTTAAGCGTTGAGCCAAGGAAGCCTGCGGAGAGTTGGGAGATTTGCAGTGAGGTGAAGTGCCTTCGGGTCATGGCGCGAATGTTTCGTTGTGGGTTTTTGCCAGGGCAGTTTTGCGGTGATCGAGATCGAGGAACAGTGAGTAGATGGTCACGCAAACTAGGTAAGTGATTTAGAGGCATTGGTGCATTGGTGGGGCGCATTGCTTTCATGAGTAGTCTTGTAAGATCACACTCTGTCACTCCTTTTCTTCCAGCATGCGTGGGAAAAATAGCAACGAAGCCCTTCAGCGGCTTTCTTCGTCGAGGAATTCGCACATGCACTGCAGCCAGAGAATGTATTCGCCTGCGGAGCAACGTTACATTTATTTGGAAGGTGGTCTATGGTGGGTGGAGAACCTACTGCCATATACTGCAGACTACCTTGCTGGTGCTGTCATAACAACAAACCGCAGGGAAGTAAAAGTGTTGGACGCCTTTAGGATACTTCTATCCTTCTTTCACTGCGATGTGGCGTAAAAGACCTCAGCAACGCTCCTGCTGTGTCACCCCAGAGCCGGGGGCCTTCGGACGGAACACCTTCTCTGTGGAAATGCTATTGGAATCTCTTTGCCAAAGGTGGAGCGTGCCTGAGCAAACACGAAAGTCAGCAGGAAGAGAGATGCTGATTGACTGAAGAGGAGACGACATGTGGCTTTTATCTTGACGATGACGGTGATGGTGATGATGGTGATGATGATGAGGATGAGGATGAGGATGAGGACACAATATTTTGATCATCTGGTGGTCCGCATGCAGCTTATAGCTTCAGAGTTACACGGTCAACATGCTTGCTCAAAACATCCTGTTCAGGGTCTGCATGGCAGTTTGGAGCCTAGAGCTTGCAGCCACGGTCGGCCAATGAAGCATGAATCGGTGTCAGGCCACTTGACCAAACGAATTCCTTTCAGCGAAAAACCCTTGAGTATAGTGGTAACTGTTTGCAACCATCTCCATGAACTGTGCGTTCCAAAAAGGGGCAGCTGAAATCGTCGGGTCCCAAACTCGTCGGGTGGTGGTCCAGTCGCTGGGTGGGCTGATTTGGGCTTCGTCTGCACCAAGTCGTGCCAAGCGTCAAGTCTCCCATCTGTTGGTCGAAATCGCCAAAATGTCCGATGAAGATGTATTTGAAGATCTCAAAGTCTGCATACCTCAAAACGACCAGAAAAGCAGCAAGCAAATGGACATTTGCTGTAGAAGGGGGAAAACGTGGAAATCGACAAAAGAAAACAGGCGTTGGGTGGAGGCAACAATGAACTGTCCTAGACTCATTATTGTTGCAGGTACCACAAGGATCCAAACTATGTGTGCAGGACAACAAGGACGTCCAACATCCCGACGACCAAGTGCCAAGGAGTTGCAGGTTGATTTGTGGCTGCAGGGCTCTGCTTCTCTTGTAGAATGTCACTACTTTATCCAGTGATTCCGGCCAATGATGTGAGTTTCACTTGATGAAACTATGACCCCTCAGATTTCACTCGATGTCCGAGACGTTCCAGCCTCCCCAAAACGGGCTTGGGCACTCCCGACCTCCGACCACCGTTTTCCCTTGACACGCTGTCACCAGGTCTGGACACGAATGGTGTCCGACTGGTGTCCTCATCTTGCACCCAATTGGTGTCCTTCACAGTGCATCTCGCCCCTTTATATCATATACCTTATTCATACCTTACACCTTATAATTACCTTCCCCATCCTTCTCCCCTCATACTACCTCCGAAGCTTTTCCTCACGTTCCCTTCACCGGCCCCAGGCACCAAAACGCATGTCGCGCATGCCCGGTGCGGTACAAGTCCACCGGATCGCCGTGGTCCCGGCGCCGCGGCAGCACCGTCACGTTCTCCGCCAGGTCCTCGGCCGACCGACCGCGGACCGACCGCGCGGACCGCGCGGAGCGTCACGCAGAAGCGGAGGTCGAAGGAAACCAAAGCCTGGATTCGGTGTGTTTCCTTTTTTTTTGAGAAATATGTCGAGTCTGTGGAATAGCAACTAGGGAGAGAGAGTCGTTTTTGAAAAGGGGGGAAAAAGTTGCTGGTTGTTGTCTTCCTGTATAGTCTCTATGTCTTCGATGGTTTCTTCTGGGTATGCATCGGAGCATCAAGAGGTTGCAAACTGGCCCAGCAACAGAATCATGGTGGGAAGGTCATATTCACTCCAGCACTCTAGCATCCATTCATGAGTTTTTCTTCATCCCGATTCGGGCAGTCTGCTGAGTTTTTGGGACCCTTCAGATCTGTTCACTGCTCTAAATACTTACTCTGCATTATGAATGATGCGTGAATGGATCCTGTTGTGGCTGAAACAAACGTTCGCGAAAAGTATAGCTTCCCCATATGGGGGTTGTTCAAAATTATGGTTCCCAAAAATTGTTCTTTCGCCGCGCTTTCGCGGATCTTTCGCATCCTTTCGCCCCCAATGTAAAATGTATTAGGATATATGATATTATTTTCGTTATTTCGTTTTCGGTGGAGGACCTGAGTAGAGCCACAAAAGTTCATCCATCGTATATGCAACAATAAATGTGCCGCTGCTACTTACTACTTTGGGGAGTGTGGATTGTGGATTCTGGATAACTTTGGTTTTTGGTTCCCGTTATTCCAAGGGCGCTCGGTAGATCTTTTCTCCTTCATGGGCGTTCAAACATCTTTCGTTGCAGCTTGCTTCGTTTCTTGCCATCGACTCCGTCTTCGAAGTAATTGTTTCGCATGATTTCTTGCAGTTTTTTCCCTGTCACTGATGAGGTTTGGCACTTGCATTGGGCAAGGTGGTGTTGCGGTTGGGGCGCTTGGCTTCGGGACAGTTGTTGTTCACCCATTCCTGGAAAAGATAAAGCAAGACGCGACATGGCGTGGACTCTGGACTAGCCCATTTGGGCTCCCGATGGTTTCGGGCAGGCTCGTCTTTCGCCAACCTTGCGCGTCGCTTTCGCGAAGCTTTCGCGTTTTTCCTCGTTCGGTTTGGGGAATTTTGCTACTTGAATCTTCTCTTGTGATCCGTCTGCAAGATTTCTTATTGCTGTCTGTTTCTTTTCGTACGCATCTATGACATGCTGGGGTGTTCGCTAAGCTGGTGATACATATCCTTCAAGATATTACATGCTTAGCCACTACTCTTGCAGCTTTCTGCCTATCACGCCTTGCATGGAAACCACTCTCCCTGTTTGTTTTAGACACAAAGAGATATGCACAACATGTGCATACATGTATGAATTATCTATGATATATTTCTATCAAGTTTAGCCTTTCGCCAAACCTTTCGCCGCGCTCTCGCATCCTTTCGACCCTGCAGGTAAACACAACTTCAAAAAGCTAGAATGTCACTCGTCCACTAAAAACATTACACGGGTTTTAGAACGACTCCCATATGTTCAAGGAGCACACCCGTCATCCCAAGAGAAAGCAGGAAACCCACCTACTGTTCAACTTCAAACACATGGGTGTGGGTCAAGAACCTACACAGGCCCCCACACAGAGAATAGAATAGAATCTCTTAGAATGAGGCTTTGGGCTGTGTTCACCCACTATAGTCACCATGGCTTTGAGTATGCAGGATTGATTGACCCACACCCATCTCTGGAAAGTGCTGTCTCATGTGCAATCCACTCCAAGTCTCTTGCAGCAGCTTCACACCTTGTGGCTCGTAGCCGAATTCATAAAGCATTCCTGACAGTGCGTGAAAATGCGTGAAGCAGAGTGGAACACACCGCAAAGCCTCAAAAAGATGTGGGGAAGATAGTGGGAATTCGATGTTCTCCAGTCTGTCAGAAACCTCAGAATACTCAGACCGCCTTTTCAGTGTTCCAAGATTGTAGAAGGTGAATTCCGTGAATTCGCTGGTTGAAAAGACCTATGAGGCTAATGAGTAGCGATAGTACGAGTAGGGGGAGGTGAACAACCCAGGAACCCAAGCTGGTCTTCCACAGTCCTTCCTGCCGAAACCTGCCAAAACCCCAGCAAAAGACGCCGAAACCACCGTGAGGTTCACCGGTTTCACCCCAAAACAGTTTCACCAACCACCACCCGGGCATCTTTCTTCTTTCGACTGACTTGCCTTCGTATTTGCTCAACTTCCTCTCGAAGTTCTGGTGGAACTTCTCCAGAACTCCACGCCCAAAGGCGCAGATGTTGGACGCCGGCCGCTCGAAGCCCACGTAGTCCTCGGAGCGGCCGCTCCCAGAGTCGGTCGAGGACTACGTGTCCAACGGTGGGTCTGGTCAAACGGTGTGTCCAACGGTCCAAGCAGACCGTTTTTGGGAGGTCCAAGTGGCAAAAGGAGCCAAAAGCATCCTGGAACCTGAGGACCTGACCTTCTTGGAGTCTTAAGAGCACTCTGAGATACTCTTGAGTACCGGAAGAAAGGAGGCCAAGGCCTCTGCATGTCTCGCACATGTGTGAAACGCTGCACGAGTCTCATCGTAATTGAGGCTGGTCAGCGCATTGAACTTCTGCTGGAAGCCAATGCCCACGGTAGTCGTGTCCAAGGTGTACAAATATGCATGGGCCTGCAAGAGACCCCCAATTCGCTCACTTCTCGGGTGGATCTGTGTATGAAAAGGGCCCTGGATTATGTCACATCGTTTGGATGTTGGTCATACAATGATATTTATATTGTTTCTATCACGCCATCCATTCACCATGTCTGAATTCTTTTCCGGTGGAAGACTCTGTGAAAGGGCTGGCTATGGGCTACGTCCCCATCTGCTGGTTCTGGCGAGAAACAAGAATGAAGAGTCTACAGTGTCTACAATAGAGTCTACTACTGAGTCTACTCGGGAGGGTGAACCTCAAACAACTCCTCAAACAAAAACCTCTTGATCCAACCTACAAGGTGTTGGGTACCTTGCTTTCATCAAAGAACTTCCGATGCTTGCTCGGGTCACTGAGTCGTATCAGTCATCCGTTGAAGCTCAGAACCAGGTGGAGACCATGGGATCACATGGAGGTGATTCCCAGAAAAATCCTCCAACTGTTACTCACATTTAGGAATTCATCCAGCAGTTCCTTCCCAAAAATGTCTTAATGAATCATCATCCTGCACAATTCATACTAACTATATTAAATGCAAATGCCCTGGATGACAATTCACACATCATGTCCTCTCCCCATCACCCCGAAGATTCAACCGAGTCCCCGCCCCTCTCATCCCGCTCCCGTCCTGCACGAAGGGGTGATCCTTGTAATGCCAGAGCATCGAGAGGCCCGTCAGATCGAAGTTCCTCAAAGAGAGAGAGGAAAAAGAAAGAAAACGCGCCAGTTCACACGCGAAATGGCAGAAAAGATGGGTTCAATCATTGATCTGATGTGATCTGTAGCAAATTGCATCTAAAAAGGCCGCTCTAGAGGCACTAGGTCAATTCAAGCGGAGCGGAGCGAAGAGCTTCGCGGACCGAGGTGCATGAAGGCGGTCTCGATGTAGGTGAGTCCGTCCTCACGGTAGATCTTCTCGGAATCCTCGGAACGGGAGGTCTAAGAATTCTTGGGTGAGCATAAGCATGTGGGTGACAGTGGCAATCCTAGTATACCTGTCCTTTGCCTTTTTTCGATTGGTGCCCAAAAACACAAGCAGCAAGCTGCTGTCCACCATCCCCATTGGCTCCCTTCTCCGAGTCCCTTCCGTGGCTCGCTCCCTCCGCCCCAAAAAGAAGCCGCTGCGGGAAGAGCGGCAGCTCCTCCGATGACAATGATCACGTCGGTGAGGTTTTGGAACTTGATGGCTCTCATCGAGTCCAACAGCATCTTCAGCGGCAGCTGGTACTTCCTGGAAAGTGGATGGAAAGCCGATCGGATTTTCGGAAGGGACACCACTAGGACCTATAGGATGGAATGAAAGGTCAAGGACTTTGGAAAGGATTGGAAAGGTCGGGACAGATGACTGCCTGGATCTTTGGAAAGAGAGCTGCCAAACTCCCTGACCCCAAGGCCCTGCCTGTTAGAGTTCACCACTATCTTCACTGCCCGCCAGTCCGAAGGATCTTTGCCAGGATCTTTCACGCGAGCAGAAAAGCCACCGACGATCAGCAAAGCAACGACTCGCCAGATGCGCATCGCAGCGGGATATGGAATCCGCGAGAGCGAGTCGCGGGAAATGGCCTAATCTGAATGAGCCAATGTTCCTGCAGATGAATGACTCGTCCATTGCGTTCGGCGACGTTAAAGGCCCAATCAGAGCTTCATGTTCACAAAGTGTCTATATAGATTATAGTCACTATAAAGTCACTATAGTCTCTATGCTTGCTTCCACTTGCTTTCCTTCGACTTGGCTTTCCTCGTCCCCCGCCTTCGGCTTCACCCCGTTGGCACCCGCAGCGCCCGGCGGGCCCGGCGGGCCCGGTGGACCGGGCGGCCCGGGCGGCCCGGGCGGACCTCCGGGCGGCCCGGGTGGGCCCGGAGGCAAGTCCTGAGGCCAATGGCTGCACAGAAAGAGGATGTGCTTCTTTTATCGTCTTTTATTGTTTGTTTTATACTGCTTTTATGAACTTATTGATGGAGGGTGTGAAGGATAATCAGGATTCTCCGTGTCAGACGTAACTCTTGTCGATCATCCCCCAATGTCAGTTGCCCATTGCCACACACACTGAAGCGCCTGCGCGGGGGCTGGCTCATCTGGCGGGGGCGGTGGGATCGTGCCTCAGAGGTGGGGGTGGGTTGGGTGAACACAGAAGCTGTTGTCTTCGCGTTTGAGAGGGTGACTATCCACAAGATCAACCACCGAAGAACCCCCGAAGACATGAAACAGAAGCAAATAAATGAACTGCCTCACAGGTATGTTTATTAAACTTCACAGTGTGTCCGCCGACCCCTGCTTAGCCTTTGCCTAAGCGGGGCGGCGCCAGGGACACCGGAGGGTGGAACGGGTGGCAGTGCAAACGAAAGCCCCAGCATGCCACGTTAAGCAGCCACCCCCGCCTTCAAAGCCCTGCGTCGGCATCACTCCTGCACTGGCCAAACAAAGGCCGCAGCTTGGCCAAGAAAGCTTTTTCTCTGGGCTTCCGAAGGCAACGTTAGACACCCACGGGCCCCGCCCGCAAACATCCCTGCAGGCCGTTTGCGCGCCTGCGAACCGCTCAGGGGGCCGTTTGCCCGCCCGCAAACCCTCCTGAGGTGCGGACAGTGCCGTCTGCCAGGCGTCAAACCCTTCCCGGGACCTCTCAGCTACGCCGGCCAAAGGCCGCAGCTTGGCCCAGAAAGCTTTTTCTATGGGCTTCCGAAGGCAACGTTAGACACCCACGAACCCCGCCCGCAAACGTCTCTGCAGGCCGTTTGCGCGCCCGCGAACCTTTCTGGGGGCCGTTTGCCCGCCTGCAAACCCTCCTGGGGTGCGAACAGTGCCGTCTGCCAGGCGTCAAACCCTTCCCGGGACCTCTGCTGCACTCCTGCACTGCAGCCTTGCCTGGCGTTTCGAAAGCGCCCGTTGCTTGTGCCCGCAAACCTTCCTCGGGTGCGGACAGTGCAGGCTTCAAACCGTTCCCGGGACGTTTGGCCGGTCTGGACATACTTCTCTTGAAGGTGCGCCTGCCCGATGCACGCTCACAGTTCTCCACATGCATTCCACCGACGCTTCGGACATTGTTTTCCCGACGGCGTCTTGTGTGTGGCTTGAATGCGCCCAGACGACAGCGCTGACCAGACCACAGTGTGGCATGCCGGGCACCTGTGCGGATGCTGCCGTGTCTGCGCGCTAACAGCGCCGTCTTTGACATAAAACTTGTTGCCGCACACGGTTCCGTGATTTATTCGCCCTTTTTTCACTTTACTCGCAACGCTCCCTTGGCAAAATGGACAACCATAGACAAACTCCCTGGCGGCAACGTGTCCGTCTTTGACACGAAAACGATTCCCGCATGCACGGCGGTGATCTATTTCCCCTGTGCGCACGGTGCTTCTCACAGATGCCTGACACACCGGGCAGACATATCGGAATGTTTCCTGGCCGGCCTTCTGTCCAGCCAGCTCTACTGTATCTTCGGGTGGACCTCGCATCTGGTCAGTTCCCTCTGCCCTCGTCCGTTATTGCTCTGTGTGCATATTGTTTCTGACCGACTCGTGTTTTGCACGCTTTGCTGCTGGCTCTTCCGACGCTGCTCGCGTCGTCGCTGTGCGGGGCGGGGTCTTTGTCTCTGTCGGCTCTGCTTGCTTCTCTGGTTGTGTTTCCATCTGTTGCGCACGGTCAGCGATCTCTTCCCTGACAAGAGCTATGACTTGCTGTCTCTTTTCCTCCGCTACCTTCGTCTGCCATGCAGTCGCACGGCGTATCGCTTGTCGAATCACGCTTCTTCGCAGCAACGGCCGTACGCTGTCCGGGCTTTCTGCCCGAATGCACCTGATTACCTGCTGTCTCTTGTCCTGCACTCGCAGCTTGTATAGTCTGCCCTTTGCCTTCTTTGCAGCCGCCCGTATTTCCGTTGCCTGGAAGCACGGATTGCAACGCTGCTTTCCATTTTGCCTCGTGCTTTGCCGTGTCCACGCGCTGAAGTGCTCGCGTGCTTTTTGCTCACTGCACACTCCGCAGCGCCAGTGACCTGTCACTTTCACTGCGCAGTCCTTGCAACAACGTCGGTCTGCATTTCGCGCCTTCCACGCAGAAGCTCCAAACGCGCTCGCCGGCTTTGCCACGCCGCACTTGCAGCACGGCTTCTGCACTTCGCACGTGTGGCACACGCGGTAGAAAGTGCACTGTGGGCGCGCGTATTGCTTTGCAAAGGCGGCCTCGTCCTGCCATGCTTTGCATACGCTGCATTGCCACGGCGTGTTGTTTGCCGCATGGTTACGCACGCATTCTCTGCACACCCGCGCGGCTGCTTCCCGTTTCCACTGCCCTGCAGTGTACGGACCCGCTTTTGGGCTTGCGTTCGCGGCACTGGCTGCACGCTTCTTCTTCTTCTCGGTAGCGCGTGCGTTGCCCAATCGATGCAGTCCCCACGCCAGGTCTGCAACAACAGAGCCCTCCCCACGCTACATCCTTTCTGGTATGGCGAGGCATCAAAGGGTTGTATAAACCCTCTCTATCTCTCACCCGTGTCACCGCAATGTACGCTGTCATGGGGCCTCCGCCTTCGCCGATTTGCATGTCTGTCATTGCACCCTCTGCGTAGGTTTGACCCTGTGCGGCGTGGGCAGTCGTTGCAAAGCCTGGGGCCAGCGGAAATTGCCGCCGGACGACGCGTAGCATTGGCCGGCTCCTGCCTTTGTCTATGTGCCATGGTTGCCGTTGAAGCGTCACAGGAAAGACGTTGTCCTTGTCCAGGCCTTGGACTCGCCACTGCGTTTTCGTTGTGAATTGGACGAAAATACATGTTGGGGGCTGGTTCCAAATGTGTGTCTTTTGGTCTTGTGATATCATCCCTTCAGTATGCCTCTGCGGCGGTCCAGGTGGTCTGTTGCCGTCACTGGCATGCCCACGCACAAGGGCAAAACCCCATATAACCCTCCGCACTTGGTCATGTCGCTGCAGCCACGTTAATTTCTCCCTCCCCAGATCCGGTTTTTCTTGCAATGCACGACTGGAGATAGTATCTTTTGCGATGGCATACTGCACTTTTGCGATATGCATGTTGTGCCCAGCTGCATGGGCACCTGTGTGGTTGTTGGATTGTGGCTATGGGGTGAAAACTATCAGCCTAAAATTGGATTCCTCCAAAAACATTCCTCCGCACCAAACTGAACAGGCCTTCCTCGGATGCATCGAGAGAGATCGATATTGGATATCTAGCTGTCGAATAGATGCTAGCGCTTATATAATATATATGGATACAGCTGGATATTAAAAAACATATATATATCATCGTCTCACTGTCCCATTCACTTGGTCCCGGAATTGCAGAGCAAAGCATGGAACGTCACTTGGTGTCTATCGATGTATTCCAAAAACGGGCCTATGGGTTGCCTTTTGTTTGGGCTTGAGAACTTAACCATTCATCCCCTCATGCACTAGCACGGTAGCTGGCCCCAAGGCCCGTGTTTGCATTAAGTGGCTGAGTGATTTCTTGAAGCGCAACATCCCGGATGATCATGAGATCCGTTTGGTGCGGACTTGTGTGTGCCTTGGTGGTGCAACTTAGGAGGAACTTTTCCATATGGGTCCCATGGGTCAATCACACAAAATCAAAAACGATCTACTGGTCCCAAAGGTCCCAAAGGTTAATGGGAATTCGCCCAGCACATGTCGAACGTCAGCCGATCGATACCCGTTTAGCGACTGGGGCACCGTTCGGGATTGCAGGTGTGCAATTGCCGAGTTCCATCAAACCTTGGAGGATGAGGGCCGGTATTTGAGCTTGGACGCCATCCAGAAAATGAACCGCCAAGTTGTCACCTGGTGGAATTTGGGAATGGTTTGCATTGCCCATTTTAACACCTGAAGATTGAGATCCCCTTTTCTAACTAGCTCAGGAAACTTGCATCAAATCCTACATGCAGTTAGCGGTCAAAGCTCTTGATGCTGGTGAACTGATGTGGCCTTGCCGGCCCAAATTTCATGCGCCTTGGTAAATGGCCTACTTAAGCCATGGTGCCACATATGTTGTGCTTAATTCTTGACTGCCCCCTGGAGTGACACTCATGCCTGCAGGGTCTTCAAGAGCTGCTCCGGGTACAGTCAATCGACAGAGCCAAGGCTTATATAACCCCCCGTTGGAATTTCAACGTTGATTAACGACTCAGTACAAGCCAACAGCCAAGGATTGAATTGCCGCAAGTACGACTCCTTCCATACAGAGGACTGGATTGGGCGAATCAAGCAGTGCTGCGCAGTATCGCAAAAGCAACATGCGTTGGTTCACTGGGCCCCCTGGCTGAGAAGTGCAAAATAGTCTTTTGAACCCAAAGGTTTCCCGAAGCTTCCCCGACATGTTGTTAGGGCTGCACATGTGATATCTGAGGCTGACAAACAAGCTCGCTTCCGCGGAGTTCAGCTGAGTTTCCCCACGGATGGTGTGGAAAATGCAGCGCTGTTGTGCGAGATGCAGCGGATTGAGCCGATGGGTGGTTGGAATGGAGGTTCAGGTATCCAACTTAGCCAATTTGTTAGATTTTGAATGATTTTGATATTCCCAACTTTGTCTCACAGTGGACTTGGCTATGGACCCCTGGTGACAACGGTCCGGGAGCCCAGGTCCTTTCTCAGACAGGACTGGGGATCCACAGGGAGGTAATCCAGCGCTCTTCTAGCTACCCGAAGGGGAATGTGAGTGGGAAGGATCCGTTTGGCCAAAATGGGGGTCGGCGGCACCAGGGCGGAGCCCTTACTATTTACTACAAGAAAAAATCAAGTGATCTATATAAATACAGTAAGTAGTAGAGCCTTCTTCCTATCGCATGGCAGCATGATATAGCATGATTAGATCCGATCTCCGCCGTTCTCACCGACTCCCTCGGGCTTCCGCACAACCCTCGGGCTCTGCGCGCTCCGCGCGCTCCGCGCGCTCCGCGCGCTCGGCGGTCGGTGGGGGCACTTGGTGCGGCTCCAGGTTCACCTGGCGCCGCTGCACGCCGCTCCACGCCGCTCCACGCCGGCTCGCGGGGCGTACGGGTTGGATAGTCCATAGGCGGCGGCCGTTCTCTTTTTGAGTGAACTGAAGAGATAGAGAGATAGAGAGAGAGAGAGAGAGGAGGATGCAAATGAAAGAGAGATGGAATGTGAAGCACTGGAACATTTTAACTGTCACGAATCTGTGTGAGGGCACCAAGCATCCAAAAAGAATCCCTGACCTGAAGTGCTATGCTTGGCATGAAACAGCCACCAGTGGCCTCGCACTCTCGAATGCTTGGTCCCCGCGCCGGGCGGAAGGCTTTACCCGTGCCGTCCTCCATGCGGACCTTCCAATAGCTGTTGGCCTGGACGCCGAGTAGAAGGAGGTGATTGGTCAACTATTTGTCAAAGTGGATGGACTTTAATGAGATAATGTGTTTTGGGGGTGGGGATTGGGGATTCAACTATACAATCTATGTCTCTTCGTTGTTCGCGCGATGCTTGGATAGAGGGTCTCTCTGTGCTTTGGCTCTGTGATGCAAGTTGATGGATGATCATCATGTATGTTTAAGAGCTAAAACCTTAAGGCGCAATCTTCTCATTCTGTTCTACACCTCGCTTTTGCCAAAGAACACCGGCCTCATCCCATTCCACCAGCAAGCCAACCTTGCCATTGAGCTCGCTCTTGGCCTTTAGGCCAACCTCTGGCTGCAGCAGTCCGTCAATGAGAGTTCTTTGCAAGAACCATCAAGAATCAATCTTTCCCATGCTTCAGTCATCTTTCAACTTGGCATACTCACAAAAATTGCCAGTTGGGAATGGCATGATCGATTCCACTTGGAAGTCCCTGGAAACTCTCCATGTTTTTCATTCCCCCGGTCGCCACAAGCCGCCCCGTTTCACCTCCGCCCCCGCCCCGCCCGGAGCGAAACTCCGATCCGAGCGGCGACGCGGACGAACTGCCCGGCGGCAAAGTCCTGACTGCCGGTGGCGTGGGAGGTCAAACAGGCCCTCTCAGCGGATCCAGCAGGTGTCTTTTTTGAAGGCCCTCTCAACTGGTTTAGGCATAGAATGCATGTCAATTGGCATGTGATGTCACACGGCGGAACGACGAATTGATTGAACTCTTTTTTTCGTAGCGTTGCTCATGCAGGAAGAGCTTCGGATTGGTCATTCATCTGTTGCCAAGACACATGCTTCATCTTTTTCTTCTTCTCCTGCAAGTCCCAGCACGTTTCACATGTCATGTGGACCATTATTGGTGGTGGGAAATCATCATGAAAAACCGTTCAGAACTGAACCTATCATTCCACGCAAACATGCAGAAAACTTCCCACATTCAATTGGGCCACGCAAATCGTCGGGAGCCCAAGCTGCACGACTGCTCAAACTGGACGTGCCTTGCCACCCTTCTCCTTCGCTTCTGGTTTCTTCCTTTTGCCTTTCTGCTCCTTAGCATCAAGTTCTACAAGTAACTGTCAGCACTTATATATAATTATTGGCCTATGTAAAGATCCTGAACATGCCATCAATCAGTCGATCATGGCCAGTGTTTGTCTAACAAAATCCATTGCTCAATCAGACTCAAATCCTTCAGTAACCCTAAATCCACCTGGGCTTCAGCAAACCCCCAAAACCACAAAGCCCACTGGGGATCCCAACGGTTTCGACCTCCTGGCGGGCGACCCGACCGCAACGACCGCTCACCGCTCCCCACTCGCGTTCACCTCTGCCAGTCGGACCGGAAGAAACACACACGATGTGCTTAAGCGAGGAACCGAAATGGATTGGTTACTGGATTGGTTTTATTCCGCATATTGGAACATCGTCGGTCACCACTTTCGCGCGGTCGTGTGAAGAGGAATTCCTATCGGAGGGAGGCCCAAGTGAAGAGGCGCAGCTCGCAGCTCCTCGTGAACTTCAGGAGCCTCCTGCGCGGAATCCAAATTGGTCTTTTGACGCAACAGAAGAAGGATCGGTCGCGGATGGACCCAACACAAGTGGATCGGACCGGAGGAAGGGTGAAGCTTCTGCAGCTGTCCACTTAAAGGTGTGAAGCTTCAATTAAAAGTGCAGCGATCATGACATGCATGAGACAGAACAGGCAGGGTTTCTTAGATCAGTTGTGAAATCCATGGGTTTCTATCAGTGTTTGTTCAGCACATTCGCACTCCCTCCGCGCGAGACCGAGAAAAAACCAATCGCTCCGCCTCCGATTCCGTGAGCTCGCTGGAGGGCGAGTCCACGTTGTCGATGCTGAAGGTCAAGGAGGTTTGACACCTCGGTCGGTCCCGCTGTCCAAGCTGCGGAGTGAGCCAAAGGGGAGACCTCCAGACCAGTCCACGGCAACCACTTGCAGCGATGTTTGGGATGTGTGACACGGGCTCGGACGCATGTAAAGTTGTTGGGTGCAAATGTAGGCAGGCTCACCATCATAGCTTCCCCAAAGCGGAAAGCAAGGAGTGTCCAGGGTAATTCTTCTTTACCACTTCACACTCTCAGACCTGATTTTGAAATGGACCTGGAGACCTTCCTTTTAACCACACTTCACTGGTTTTGGGCGCCTTTGTCCATTTCCTGGTCGTCTGGCATTTGCTCCGCCTGGGCTCCCCCGACTCGCCGGGCTGGTTCGGGCGCACCCGAAAGGGCACCGTCAGGGTGGCACCGCTCGGGAGCCTCGTCGAGTATAGAGGGAGGGAAGA